TGCCCAAAGCGCCTCAGAACCACCAGCAGACACATCAGTCCCGGGGCACCCGGCGCTTTGAGACTCTTTGGCCGGGACAGATATCTCTGCAGAGGGAAGACCCAGAGAACACCTTTGATTTGGGCAGAAGGAAGGTGGCCAGGAATCGGAGTGAGCGTTTAAAGCTCCAGGGCCTCCTGGGATGGGATTAATGGGATGGACTCCCCAAATCTCCACGTACCGCTGCTCTGCTCCATCCTAAGGAGGGAGACAAGGCCTCCTGTGATCTGACCCAACATACCCTGGACAAGGGCATGTTCCCCTCCTCTCCCCTCCCCTCCCCTGACAGCTGGGCTGGGGCGCCCCGGGGTTGCAGCGTCTGAGGACTGAAGGCTGTGTGCAGAGCACAGCACACGCCAAAACAAAAAAAAAGCTTCCCGTCTTTTCAGTGCGTCCTCTGGGTAAAACTCCCACCCCATCACTTACTCACCTGCCACGGGATTTGGGGCAAGGCCTTCAACCTCTCTGAACCTGTTTCCCCATGAAAAACGGGGATAACCATGCCCATAGCAGTAAGTTGTTCTGATAACTTCTAAATACATCAAGCGTGTCCCAGAAAGAACTGGAAGAATAGGAGTGGCTGTCCAAGGCGGGTTTCGAGGGAAAGGAGAGTGTGGGCACAGCTTCTGCATGACCTTTGGTGAGGTTTGCATTTGTGTATGTTCGGGAAGTGTGTGGTCACTGCACACGGTAGCTCTCTTTTCTGACTTTTAAAAATTAAACTGATCACCTTAGATGAATCTCACATAGGCCACCCGTCGCCCTGTCTCGAGGAGGAAGCCGTGGGCTTGCCACAGTGGTGTCTCGGTGAGAGTCATACAGGTGTGGCAGCGCACAGCAAGCTATCTTCCCCACCTCTGTGCCTGATGTTGACCTTGGCCAGGGCACTTCCATCAGCCATAAAAGCAACAGGTTGGTCCAGGGTACCCGAGGTCCCTCCCAGCTCAAATATTTCAGGACTTTCTGATTCACAGGCATAAATCATTACACCAAGACTTTAAAAACTCCCATAGATAGTCTGAGATTGCAGAGCACTCATGCCACCCCCTAGTCATATGTGTTCAAAGAGGGAGATGATTTCTCCGGAATCAGACACCATTTATCAGTCACACAGTAGGGTTTGTGCTTGTCATGTTTTCCAAATTTAGCTAGACTAACTTGAACCTGTGGCAAGAGTCTGATTTCCCAAGAGAGCGTTGTGAGATGTTTCATATTAACCTTTTTTAAAAAAATGTTAATGTTTATTTATTTTTGAGAGAGACAGAGAGACAGAGATCGCGTGAGTGAGCGGGAGAGGAGCAGAGAGAGAGGGAGTCACAGAATCTGAAGCAGCCTCCAGGCTCTGAGCTGTCAGTGCGGAGCCTGATGCAGAGCTCGAACTCACGAACAACGAGATCATGACCCGAGCTGGCTGTAGTCGGATGCTTCACCGATGGGGCCACCCACGTGCCCCTCATATTTAATTTTATTTGCATGTAAGATTTGATATGTGCAATGGAATATATCTGCCTGTATGTGCATAAACAAATATATATTTGTAAATGATGAAGCATAAAAATATTTTAAAATAGCGCCCATGAGTTCACCACTCGACAGAAGAACATAATGAATCCTGTCGAGGGTAGACCTGGCTCCTCTCTGACCCTGTGCCCTCTTCCCCATCCTGATTGTGGGGTTACTACTCCCCTGACTTTATAAAACCTGCTTAAGTCTGTAGAACAGGATCCATGTAGAGAGGCGCACAGACAACATACATGGCTTCACGAATAGCTCCCAGGGGAATTCTTCTGTCACAGACCCCATGACCCTACCAACCCGTTCTTACCCACTCCCAGCCAACTTTGCTCCACATTTAAGGTGATCACTTCTCACCTTCTGCCATTGTTTGACTTGCCGGGTATGTACCGCGAAACGACTCACAGTTGGCGTTTGTGTTTTGAGCTTTCCTAATTAGCGGCTCTCTGTCCCCCTTCCAAAGCATTTCGGAGATGCTGAGATTCCCTGCCCAGAGTCTGCAGCCCAGAAATCCAGGCAAGAGGCGCAGGCCACAGTACATTGTTACAGCCGCATTAGGAGGATTAGGAATAATAAAACCACGATAACTCCTCTTATGATGTGCTCCCGCCCCGCGGGGCATTCTGCTGAGGCTTGTTCCCAATTGTCTCATTTATCCCCACAGCAACCCCACGGGGGCCTCTTATCTCTATTTTAGAGACAACAAAATTGAGGCTCGGGCTGCTGGGACTGTCCCCCATCTGCTTCCTGGCGGCTCAGCCCCAGGAACATCATCCCCAAATCCTGACGCCACAACTCCCTGGGGGTGGAGAGGGTCAGTGGACAATTCCGGAACTTCCATCTCCTCCTCCCAGGTTCCTCTTATGGTGACTCTGCTGGGCTACTTTTAGATGTTAACAGGGGGGAAAAAAAAGCAGAATCCATTCTTTCCCAGCAAATACCAATGGCTTACTGATGACCAGGACCCCGCCTCGCCAATGCTGTTCTCCTGGTGGTTAGTATATTTCTTACTGTTGTCATTCTATTGTCTGAGAGGCTCTGTGTGGTGTAATGAAGGGCAGCAAGTCAAAAGCTCTGAGTTCAAATCCTGACTCAGTCACTCCTGTCCTCTGGATCTGTCTCCTCATCCGCAAATGGGCCAGCAATGGCAGCCTTGGCTTTCGTCAGGATCGTAGGAGGTGAGACACAGAAAATGCTTCCTAACAGTCCACACACAGACCTGGCAGACCCCCTCTCAAATTTCTCTGCCTGGGCCAAAGACCAGCTCTTGGTGATGGAAGGCCTCCAAGATCATTCAGGGCCACCCACCATTAGACAGACACAGGAAATCAAGGCAGAGAGGAAAGGGCAGAGCTGAGGCAGGTGGCGACGGTGGGGGGTGGGGGGGATGACTCAGGTGTCCCAACCAGATCCCATCACCCTAAACTGTGACAATTCCTGTGCTGTCAGGTACCATACAAAACACTATTCATGGACCGTCCCGTCTAAAGCTCACAGCACCCACCCATAATGCGGGTGCTAAGGTTATGCCCATCTCGTGGGGAAGAAAATCGAAACTCTGAGAGGTTTTCATGGCCAAGGCCAAGGCAGGACTGGACCCAGGCCGTCTAACATGGCCACCCCCATTCTCAACAGCGGGGCCTAACCCTCAGCCCCCTTGGCTCTCAGGGGCCCCGAGGTTTTTAGGGGGGTTGTGCTGGATCTGTCTGGTCGTACCTCCCTAGGACAGTGCTCACCCTCCAGCCCAGCTAGGATCCCTCAGCTGCCCCTGCCCCAGGTTTTTGCATCACGAGATGTGGGGGCCACCCAGGCACGGACAGGTCTGCGGCCGCAACAGAACATGCAAAGCAACTGGGCTATGCCGCTGTTCCCATGGAAACAGAAAGAGTTCAAACTCACCCTGAAGGGGGTCTACAGCCTGAGCCCGGATTCTCACCCCTCCCCTCAGGGCCACCAGCAAATCTTCAGGCCTCCTCAGGACCCCCTGCAAGGCAGGAGTTCCAGAAATAAGCCTTCCCAGCCCGCTCCCCCCTCCGGCTGCCCCCAGAGGGGCCTCTGGAGCTGAAAACGGCGCCCCGGGGCCCACGGCCTGGGCACAGCTGTGACTATCGGGCAGCCGGGCGAGGTCCTGCTTGAGGAATGTGCAGACCCACACGTGTCGGAGAGCCCCGCTGGGGGCTGGTTCCAGGAAACGGAGCAAAACAGCCCTTTGGCACCAGCTTGTGCCTCCCGCCTCCCAGCCTGTGACCCCTGGGGGCTGCTGCGTGTGCAGGAGGCATGGCCTGACCTTTCCAGAAAGCCCGCTTCTGTTCTTGGTTGTGCGGCTCTGGGAAAATTACTCCCCATCTCTGGGGTGGATTAAGGAAGCTGGCCCGCCAAGCTCAGAATGGCAGTGGTTTTGTGACATACTCCCTTTTCTGGAAGGACAGTCCCTTGTCCCCCACTGTCTCCTCCTGCCCTCACTGGCCTGGGATGGGGCATGCTTCCCCAGCATGTCAGGCACCCCTGGGCTGTAGAAGATCCCTCCACTAGTGCCAGGAGGAATTTAACCCCTTACGAGCTGAAAGAGACCAGGAACCCGGGAGAGGGTCCCAGGGCAGCCTTGAGCTAGAGCTTCAAGGCCAACATGATAAAATAGTAACATTCATTATCACCCCAGCCCAGCCTTTTAGTTTTGAAGCAGAGCTCGGCTGTGCCACCGGGAGGTCCTCGCTGCTGCTCGGTTGACCCTTGGGTTACATTCACCAGGTCCACAGTCTGGAGTCAAGATCTGAAGACCCTAAAGGGAGTCAGCATCCATTTGGGGATCGCTCAGGCCCCGCAAGAGATCTCTGGCCTCCCTGCGCCCTTGTGGAGAGACTCGGGGTGAGGCTCAGAGAGGCTGAGCAGCTTGCCCAGAGCTGCCCAGCCAGGTGTCTGAATGAAACCGAGGCTGCCGGGCTGCCTCCCCTCCCCAGGGCGCCCTCTCTGGGCTGTCCCAAGCACTAGGAAGCCAGCCGCGTGGTCGCCAGGAGGGGGTACTCCTGCCCGCGGTTACTGCCCAGGCCCGGGACGCCCGGCGGCGCGCGGGCCCGCGGTGACAGGTCCGCTGGCCCCAAGCGGCAGCTGAGCGACGACTGGAGGCGGCGCCCGGCCCGCCGGGGACACGCCGCCCAGCGCTTAGGGGCTTTTTCTTGGGGGCCGCGCCTCCAGGCTTGGGGAGCGGAAAGGCTCGGGGACTTCGCAGGCGGCAGGGAACGGTTAGGTTTAAACTAAAAATACCCGCCCGCCCGCAGCTGTCACGCCAGGGCCCCCGCCCCCGCGCCTGGCGCGCCTCCCCGGGTCCCCTCGACTTTCGGCGACCCTGGGCCCAGACGCATCGGGACTGGGCCGGGGACTGCGGCCCCTGCCCTCCCGGCCCCGGCCCCCCCAGCCCCGGCCCGGCCTCCCCGCCCCGCGCCACTTACCGGGTCCCGAGCGTGCAGGAGCGCGGCGCGGCGGGCAGCTCCGGCCCAGCCGCCCTCCTCCCTGCGTCCCGGGCGGCTCCGGAGCGGGGCGGGGCCGGGGCGGGGCCGGACACTCGCCCCCGGCCCCGCCCAGTCCCCTCGGGGACCCGCCGCGGGAGCCGCCCCGGGGCCGTGACACCCGGCGGGGCGGGAGCAGGACGCGCCCGGCCCCGCGCTCCAGGCGGAGGCCCCCGGGGTGCGGCCCCAGCTCCGCGGCGCCCAGTCGCAGACCCCTCCGGGGGCAGGAGCGCTGCCGCGGGGGCTCCCCATCCTCACACCCGGCTCCGCGCCCTGGGCCACCCCCTCCGGCCCTGGAGCCTTTCGGATCCCCGGCCCCCCGCCGGCCTGCGCCCGGGTCCCATCCTTGGGGACCGCACGGAGCTGCCTCTCCCCCGGGGGAAAGTTGGATCTGGGGAGGGAGCGCCTCCGGCGTCCAGATCTGGGGAGGAGGCGAGGGGCGGGCAAGTCTTGCCCCCTCAGAGCCAAGGTGAGGCCAAAGACAGGGGCACTCCTCCCGGAGGCGCCAAATCCAAGGAGGAAGTGACACCTATCGGCTGGCCTGACAGTGGGGCGCCCCATCCGGCCACTCCTCCCCACAGTGCCAGGAGCCACCGCGGCGGGGAGGGGGGCTCCTTCTGGGCCCTGGGTTCAGATGGGAGCCCGCCAGGATGCTCAGAGGAGGCGACGGGGGCCAGGGGGTGAGCCACGAGGAATGTGAATCCGAAGCATAATCCGGACATCTCACAAACCCAGGGCCCAGGGAAGTGTCCCTCCTCTCTCCCCACCCCTGCCCACGTTTGATCTGCAGCTGCACCAAAGCCTTAAACCTTACAGCCGAACGTCTGCATCTTATCTGCCTCTGTGCCTTTGGCTCCCAGAGCATTAGGGCCCTTTGAACTGTTCTCCACTCGCCCTGATCCTTGTCAGACTAATTACATCTTTCCCTGATTGGTTCTGTCTCCTCTGAATGGGGATGAGAGCCGCTAAGGACCCAACTTGTGGAACTATGTATCACAGGGGACTCCAGGCTTTGCAATGTAAGTGTGGCTGTGCCCATTTTGCAGATGAGGAAGCAGAGGCTGGGCTTGAGGCTTTAGGGAGCTGCCCCAGATCTACTGCTTCCCAGAGGGCGTTTCCCTCTCTCCATAGTTGTTGAATACATCGGTGTAGAAATCAGTGTTCTAAGAGGCGCTTGGGTGGCTCAGTCGTTTAAGCATTCGACTTCGGCTCAGGTCATGATCTCACGGTTTGTGGGTTTGAGCCCCGCGTCGGGCTCTGTGCTGACAGCTAGCTCAGAGCCTGGAGCCTATTTCAGATTCTGTATCTCCCTCTCTCTCTGACCCTCCCCTGCTCACACTGTCTCTTTCTCTCTCAGAAATAAATATAACATTTAAAAAAATAAAAAGAAATCAGTGTTCTAAGAGAAAGGTTAAATTGTAAAACAGGACCAGAGAGAAATGGGGTGTGTGTGTGTGTGTGAGTGCCAGAGCCCAGAATTAACGCTGGGGTAGATCATCTAGCTGGAGTTAGAATACCAGGGTCAGCCACACCTCCTAACTCAGAACTCCCTTCATTAAGCTACAATTATTCACAGGGTCACAGGACGTGCCAACAAAGGGCCTGGCCCATGTTTCCCCTTGACCGGTTCTGGGTGTCCTGTTATGTTTCTCATTATCATCCTGACTCCATCCGAGGTGCTGACACCACCCTGGGGGTCACAGCAGCCCAGCTGAAGGTGCAGACGGCAATGACAATGATTGCTATCCCTGCACGTGGATAATGCTCTTTGCTTTCCCCGTGTGTTCACATATATCTCCGCATTACATCTCTGCAAAGGTCTTCCAGGTAGTTAGGAAGGGTTTAACTAGTTCTGTCTTGGGGTGGAGACTGAGACTCACGGAGGTCAGGTGCTTTACACAAGCTCTGGCACTGAATTGCCCGAGTTGGCCTCTTTCCGCCCATTACTCATCCTCGGTTTCCTTTTCTGTTAAATGGGCCTCCTCACAGGAATCCATCTTGAATGGCTCTGTGCCTGACGTTGTCACATGAGCTGTTTTGGGTACAGTGTGGGCACGACAGGTTCTGGTAAACAGCTGTTCAGTCTTTCATGCAGCATTTCCTGAGCACCTACTATGTGTTAGTCCCTGGGAATATGGAGAGTGAGGCACGTAGTAGTACCCCCAGATGAGGAAGTCACAGTGCAATGATTTTGTGTCCAAGGGCCTGTCTCCGGAATGGGGCCGTGACGGGCACAGAGAGCGCAGAGCACCATTTCAGACCTTCGAGACCGCATTGAGGACCCAGCTTTTTTTTTTTTTTTTTTTTTTTTTTAATTTCTAGGAGAGAGAGAGAGAGACAGCGTGAGCAAGGGAGGGTCAGAGAGAGAGGGAGTCACAGACTGAAACAGGCTCCAGGCTCTGAGCTGGCAGTCAGCACAGAGCCCAACGTGGGGCTCGAACCCACGAACCGTGAGATCATGATCTAAGCGAAAGTCGGACGCTTAACCGACAAGCCACCCAGGCGCCCCGAGGACCCAGCTTTGCTATGAACCCTAACAAGCCGTGCAACCTCTTAGAACCTTAACTTTTAAGTGGGGAGAGCAATACTATTCCATAGGTGAAAATAGATGTGAAAAGAAAAATATCTTATATAAGATGCAAAATACTAGGCACACATTGGTTGTTTTATTGTCACCAATTATTATCTTTAGCTTTACAGGGCTAGGTGATTTGTGAGAACACTCTCCCGTTGCTTTTCTTAAGCCTGCCATAAAAACAGGGCCTTAATTTTTGTTAATTCTGTGGCAGTCTTCTGCCACTCCAAAGTAGTTCATCCCGAAGGGGAAAGCCTTGAGTAATCAGTGCGGGAGGAAGAGGAGGTTTGCAACGCGGAAGGCCAGAAAACCTTCACCTAGTGTTCCGCGTTACCCACTGCTCCAGAAACGGGTGGAAACGAAAACGGATCTGGAAGGAAAATTCTGGCAAAGGACGGTGGGGGAGAGCCCCTCTGTCATCTCTGGAATTGAGCACAGGAAACCTCGCCCTGAGGCCTCCCTTTCAGAAGTGGCCCAGAGAGGAACCACAAGAAGGCCCTAAAATTATGCCATTCGGAAATTCTGACTCATCTGGCGACGGGGGCTGTTTGTGTAACGTACAAAATGTCTCCCAAACAGTGAAATGTGTGCTGCTCCTTCCCCACCTCCCTTTGCTGCTGCCAGCATCGCGGGGAAGCAGGGGCCTATTCACCCAGCCAGGGGGGAAATGATTCAGGTCTGTTACTCAGTGGCGGTTCCTTAGTTTGCCTCAACTCCGATCTGTACAAAGTCATATGCTGCAGGCCTGATTTTTAGTTGTGTGTGTCTTCCGTCTCCATAGGAAGCTTAGAACAGAAGCTGGAGTGGCTCTTCGGGCTAATCCAAACCTCTTGTCGTATAAATGAGTAAACTGAGGCAAGAGAGCAGGAAGGAGGGGCCCTGCCCAGGGTCTCACGTGGTAACTGGTGTTCCGGAAACCCGTGTTGCCATTTCTCTGTCTCTAGCCTGGCTTTCCCCTTCACGATGACTTAAGTCAGTCCCATTGGCCGCACCGGCGAATTAACAGGCTCACACGGGGTTGGCCGTTTCTGGGGTGCTCCCAGAGAAGCCCTGAGCTGGGCATGGGGAGCGGTTCTCATCCTGGCTGCTTTTTCCTCTGCTTTCTTTCTAGCCAGTTCTCCGAGTGTTAGTCCGTCCTTTCCCACTCTGGTCCTGTCATGTGCTCGTAGGGGGAGGGGCCCACCAGCCTGGGTTGTTCTCAGAGTACGTTGCTGACCCCACCAGCAGCAGTCACCCCGTAACTGAGCAGGGACACCCCTGCTGGAGGGCCATGAGTCATCTCAGGCACTCAGCATGGGACCCAGAGTGATTCAGGATACCCCTTTACATACACTAACTGGGCTGCTTTTATAAAATAAAAATATTAAGTGTGCTGGAAGCTCAGGACTGGATCCTGGGTTAATGCTGCTAGTTAGCTGTGTAACGTTGGGTCTTTTCTGAGTTCCTGAATCTGGAAATGAGGGCTTTGGAACAGATCACCTTTCGGTTACTACTCTCAGATTAAGAAACTGTGTGAGTTCTGGGACGCCTGAGTGGCTCAGTTGCGTATGCATTGGTTTCGGCTCAGGTCATGATCTCGTGGTTCGTGAGTTCGAGCCTGGTGTCAGGCTCCTCACTGATTGTGCAGAGCCTGCTTAGGATTCTCTCTGTCTTCCTCTCTCTCTCTGCCCCTCTCCTGCTCACACATTCTCTCTCGAAATAAACTTTATTTAAAAAAATTTTTTTTAAAGTTTATTCATTTTTGAGAGAGAGAGAGATGAGCGTGAGCGAGGGAGGGGCAGAGAGAGTGAGGGAGACACAGAATCCAAAGCAGCCTCCAGGCTCTGAGCTGTCAGCACAGAGCCCAACGAGGGGCTCAAACTCATGAACTGCAAGATCATGACCTGAGCCGAAGTTGGATGCTTAACCCACTGAGCCACCCAGGCTCAGAAATAAATAAGCCCCTGGAAATAAATAAACTTAAAAATAAATAAAATAATAAAAAATAAAAAACTGTGTGAATTTTAATCGTATTAGACAATAAGGTTGTTTAGCGTGACTAAACACAGCTATTAATATATTCCAAGGATTGAGTACTAATAGAAACAAAATGTCAACTACAAAGGACAAACTTCATTCTTAAAAAATAAAATCTTTCTAGAAGAGGCTTGCCATACTCTCCCATCCGTGGGCAGCCCAACCTATACTTTCTGCTTCTTCTGGGAACACCATCAGTGGGTTTTTTTTTTTAATATATTTTTATTTATTTCTAGGAGAGAGAGAGAGAGAGAGACAGCGTAAGCAGGGGAGAGTCAGAGAGAGAGGGAGTCACAGACTGAAACAGGCTCCAGGCTCTGAGCTGTCAGCACAGAGCCCGACGCGGGGCTTGAACCCACGAACCGCGAGATCATGACCCAAGCGAAAGTCGGACGCTTAACCGACTAAGCCA